TGGGGCCAGAGCCAGGAAACTTAGTTTAGCATAAAGACTGTGAGGTTTCCCGGTAACCAACAGAAACTCCAGGGAGCTGTGGGTTCTGGCTAAGAAACAGACTGGTATAACCAGTCCACAGCACAGAACATGCTACTGTAGGTAATCATAGAAGAAACAGAAGTCAGCAGGTTTGCAGCCAAAGGATGAGCTTGTTTACTGCCTTTGTTCATCATTATGGTATTTTTCATACACACAGAATGCAGTATTTCAATGACTGCTTGCAGAGTGGAAAGATAAAGTGGGTGAAAATCCTTGATTTCGATGGAGCTTGTGTCAGAGAGGCAGGAAGAGGCTCACGTCAGCCCAGACAGACGGTGTGAGAGGACCCTCACACATGTTTTCATTCAACCCTTGATAAGATGTTGGTTGCTGGAAACCAGTGAAGCCAGCTGGAGTCTTTGACTGAGGCACAAGGATTTTTGGTAGTTGGGCTATAGAGCATTTTATTTTACTATAAAATAGCTTTAGCATTGTTATAAGATATACTTGACTGAGGCACAAGGATTTTTGGTAGCTTTAGAATTGTTATAAGATATATAGTATCTTTGCAGATGGTTTTTATGCTCTCACATAAACAAAACAACTGTCAGCATTGCTGTGATGTTGCACAGTTGCAGTTTTTGCACTTGCTTCAACTTTTAACACACATACATTCTCAGTAAACCCACTAGAACCCACGTTTGGTGCAAAATCTTACACAAATATTTCTACTGATTTTCCTCAGGTGCTGTAACAGTGATGGTTGGTGTGTTAGTGGTGTTGTTGACAGAGACGGTGAGAATCACTTTTATTTGTGAGCAAGTGAACCAAAAGGATCAAAAGCAAATATTGTGTGAGGAAATAGTCGAGTTCAGCCGAGAGGAACAATGTGATGCCAACAGATGGGAACAATCCCTCTCACTCAGTGCAAAAGAAGAGGCTCCATACTGTGAGAGTGGGGTGCACTGAGCCATGCCTGAACAAAGAAAATGGGGTTCAGGTGGGTGGATGAGGGGGTGGAAGGAACCACCAGTAAAGGGAAAGA